TTAATACTTTGTAGGTCTTTTCTCATATTGTTATGATGCAAACTTGGATTGGTCTGTAAGAAATTTTAATGAAAAAAATTCAGATTCATAAAGTAACTTATTATTATTATTATTAATTTAATACTTTTAAATTTTTTTGATGCTTTACCATTGTTGTATGATATTAATTATTTTATGTATAAATGCAGATGTGAACTGCACATAGATTTTAAGATATGTATATATAGATATACCTATTTATGTAGATACTTGTATATTGTATGAACATATTGTAACTAGATGTCATTTTTTAGGATTTACGTTTCTGACACTCGTATTCGTGTCGTAAATAAACACACGTTTGTGTCTACGTAATATTGGTCTCCACATTATAAATTTGCATCATGTTTAATTTAATGAAAAACTTGTGGGTGACCTTCTTCCATGGATCGGTGATTGGGTCAGTGGATCGGTCGGTTTAGGTTGATTGGGCGTCAAAAAATTTGGAAAAAAATAAAATTCATTATAAATTTGTTTCTTAAGTTTACCAAAAAAGGGATACTGCATTATGTAATTTCATTATTAAATATTGAGAGATCATTTTCTGTTTGAGTTGTTGACTATTACATTGTTATAAAATAAAAAAATACATGGTCTAAAGTGGTGCATACAATAATAAAGATACAACCTATTACCTGAACGAAAGACCCTGTTATTCTTTCTCTTTTCTACTGGTGATTCAACTAATTGATTTCTTGAGAAGAATTATTGAGCCAACTGATGAATGAAATTAATACACTTTATTCATAAAATTCTAATTTTTTATTTATGTAGTTATTTTTATATTACAATGACATTCTAATTCTAATTTTATGTAATTTAAATATCTACAAATTCATTTAAAATTTTGAACATTTTATCTGAATAGATATAATAAGCATATTACTGCAATCAAATTCATTTTAATACTCAAATTCATTCTAATTTAATAAATATAATAAAAATTTTAATATAATCTATTTATTCTATTTTAGTAGATACAATAAATAAATTGATACTCTCTACTTTATACATTCTATTTTAAATAGGAAAAAGTTTATATAAGATTGCAACCCTAAAATGTAGAATTAAATATGTACCTAAAAAATCCATCGGAATAAGTTGTTTTTATGTCGAAAAACTTTCTAAATGATCATCTCGACATCAAGTTACATGAATATGAAATAACAAAATGATTTTGAGTACCAGAAATAGTGTATCTTGCAATTCATTATCTGGACCCTCAATTTTTAAGATTTACATATGTTTATAGATCTACTTGATTTTAACCATTTTTAAAGTTTAAAATTTTATAATTATATATAAAAATAGATTGGGAGATAATCTTAAGGATTTTTTACACCAAAATTATATCTTATGACAAAGTTTGGAGGTGCGCCTTAATTGGATTTTTTAAGGTTGCAACCTTATAGAAGCCACACCTTTTAAATAACATAACTAGGGGTCGTGGTGGTAGCACCCCTCACCCTGGCCACCATATTATGGTTTCTAATCCATGGACACCACCCCACTAACATTTTCAAAATACTAACTCCTAAACTATTTGAAAAAATGGGTAAGGGTATGTCTTCCCCACGAAATTACCTCGAAAACAAAAATATATAACAATTACGAAAAAGAAGTTCGGAATTTAAATTCTACGCATTCTAATTTAATAAATACAATAAATAATTTGATACACTTTACTATACATTCTATTTCAAATAACATAAAATTACATGATAATATTTGTCTAAAAAATTGTATACCTTTTATTTTAAATTTGTCATAAATAACAAAAAGCTATTATTAGGTTTTAATAAACACCATTTATTAATAATCATAAAACTATGCTGATTTTTGTTTCTTATAGAAATTATAACAAATATTTTCCCTTTTTAGAATGTTTATTTCTTCGTAATTGCGAAGTAGAAATAATTTAGTTTATTCTTACAAAAAAATCAGTCTGGCTCATAATAAAATTATACATAGCTATTATTTTATAAAAACAAGTATAATTTCTGTATGATTTTACAAGCACTAAACTTGTTGGTATTTCTCAAAAAATAAAATAAAATCATAGAAATAAAAATAAAAAAATATATTTCTACATAGAAATAATGAGTAAACACAATTTTCTTCAAAATTTAAATCTTTCCAAATGACTATTTTTTTTCCAAAGGAAATTTTTATGAAAAATAGAAATTTCCAAGAATAACAAACCCAATATTGATATAGAATAAGTCAATGTGAGGCCCTGTATTTTAAAATCCTAAAAATGATTCACAACACTATTAAAATATAGAAATGTTTCTTAAAAAAGGGAGATATATTCTACGAAAAAAAAAAATTACCAATGAAAAATGAATCCAATTATATCAAAAGGAACAAGATATAAATGAGCAGCATACTTTTGCATCAATCAAAACCCCCAATGTAATTGTAGAAAACATTTGTTCTCAAAAAACCAAGAATTTCATGAACCCTGAACGAGCAAAAAAATCCCCATTTTTTTGACACTAGATGTACGCACTAAAGCGTCATGCATTAAATTGAATAATTGATATTGAATAACGATGTTGGGGATCACTTTGAACCACAACTATGAATAGATTTGGTCGAAAAACAAAGAAGAACGGATCGATATGGTGGATTTTGCTGAAAAATTCCAACTGAAATGTGAAATAAGTGAAAAATAAATCAAAATAAAAAAATACAAAATGAAAAATATTTATATTTTTTAAAGATGATTTCTAAAGATTTGTAGACCCTAAACCCCATACATTTGAAGTATAACATAATCAAAACTATGACCCTTCAAATCAAGAAACATAAACTGCAAAGGACCTGAAATTTTCGGGCCTAATATTTAACGGAACTAGTTTTTTTGATCCAATTCAAATTGATGAGAAATAGGACGGATTGAATACCCTTTAAACAAAACAAATATCTAAGAAATTAAGCCAAACATAATAATTTTGGTGGATTTTGGGGAAGCACTAAAATATTTTATGTTTTTGCCTAAAAATCCGAACTCTTTTGTGGGATTGATTCAATATATGGTTGGGATAGGATTTATAAGTTGTTTTAGATCACTTATTAGTCGAAATCTATTAGATTCTACAACCTTTGCGTTGTAAAATCTGTAAAATTCTAAAAAAGAGGCCAAAAGAAAAGCTTTAAAAAAGCAAAAGAAAATAGAAAAATTCAGGGGAAGTCGTTCTGTTAGATGGATCGCCAGTTCTGTCAACAGAATCAGTGATCCATTATAGGAATTGGCCAATTCATGATACCGGATACCACATGGGAAAATGATTAGTTTCTGCTGATTCTTGTTCCTGATCGGGTGAAACCTGAAATCCCTTTTCATTCAACACAAAAACCTATTACGCCCAAAAAAAGGAATAAATTGTAGTGTCCGATAGGGAGAGCTCAACCTAAGACGACAGTGGAAAGGAAATAAATTGAAGTATTAATAGTAAATGGTAATTTTAGAGGAGAACTAAACCCGAGAGAACCTCGAAAGGGAATAAATTAAGTTGTCAAAATGGAAGATCAAATAAAGTCAAATGTGACTTCATATTTATTGAAGATCCTAAGTCACATTTGGCTTTATATATTGAGGCATGAGTTCTGATTTTCAAGATATAAAGTTATAAAATGGTTGTCATATATTGAAGATTGTGGCAATATGAAAAAACAAATAAAAAAATAAAAGATGGGTACATATGTAATCATCATCATCAATGCTTTTTCTCAATTAATTGGGGTTGGCTATACGAATCCTGATAAACCATTATGCTCTGTTAAGGGTCATACTCAGTGATGCAATAAGTCCCTATATTTTTTCTCACTAACAAGTGTTATAATAGGTACACAGAACACAAATGCTAACTTTGTTTTGTATTTGCAAAAATCTTTGTTTTAAAAGAATTTCTTTAAAGGTGTGGTTTCCATGAGGTTGCAACCTTAAACAATCCAACTAATGTGCACTTTTAAATTTTATTATAATATATAATTTTGATGTAAAATGTTCTTAGAATTATCTCAAAATCTATTTTTATATCTAATTATAAAATTTTAAATTTAAAAAATGATTAAAATCAAGTAGATCTATAAACATATGAAAATCTTGAAAATGGACAGTGTAGATAAACATATGAAAATCTTGTAAGATGCACTATTTCCGAGACTTAAAATCTTTTTATTTTTTATAGCCATACATCTCAAGTCAAGATGATCAATCACAACGTTTTTCAACATTAAAATAACTGTTTCCGATGGATTTTTGAGGTGCATAGGTAGTTCTACATTTTAAAGTTGCAACTTTGCATAATCTTTTTCCTTTCTTTAATAACACTAACTTTGGTGCGTATTAGCATAAATTTCTATTTTAAAAATTGCCAAGGTGCCGACTGGTTAGGTTCTCCTACTCTTGTTTTTCCTCTCACTGCCTAGTTCAAAACATGAGGAATTTCAAAAACCAACTCAAACAATTTCACATAAGCTAATCAGTAGTTCAATAGGGCGATTGGTTTGACCCACCAGTCCAACAATTTTGAACTAGCTCAATTCTGGTGGGAAACTCAGTTCAACGGACCGGTCTAGTTTTTTAATGACAATGTTATATACTTTTCGAAAACCAAAAAAGAGTAAATTGGAATATTTGGCTACGAGTGGTATGCTTCAAGGGCCGGGCTGCCGAGCCCGTCCTAGTTAGCCCGTCCCTAAAAAAAAGTAAGTTCCGGGCCACAAACTATGGCTCTATGGGCTCGGCTAGATCTAGCGCCGTCCCGACCCTCGTAGTTCTTGTTTTGCTTTTATTTCTCTTTATTAATTTTTGGCCACTCAGGAGACGCCCCGGCCCGGCGCGTTTCCAACTTAAAATTTCGCCGAAATCAAAGGCAGATTCATGAGCATCAAAGTTTCGCCGAAATTCTACGAAACCTACCTGATCAAAGATGTCTTTCGATAGTCCTAATGCATGGATACTCTGTAGCAGCAAGAGGGTACGGAGAGAGCGGGGGATAACAGAGAGAGAGAGAAAGAGAAGTAATAATTGTAATGGCAGTGGTCTCGTCTCCAAACCCTGAGACTGGTACCGAAAGCGAGAGAGATGTAAACCCTAACCCTAATTTCTCAGTAGAGGGCGGCAATGGAGTTGGCCCCTTTGTTTGCCTCGTCAGATTTGCTGGGGACTCGGCTGGAGGCGCGCTGATGGGTTCCATCTTCGGCTATGGTCCGTTGTTTCATATCTCCCTCTCTCTTCTTCCATTTTTCCTGAATATTTTCTCCATCATTTTCTTCTAGTTCTCGTTGTTTATATGTCAAAGCATTCTCCATTGCATAGCTTCCGTTTGCTTTCTTCTGAAGTATCTAATGAATTTTTCTAGGTTTTTGTGGATTTATCTTGGTTTGGTTGAGATGCTTGTCTTAGTCTGGGAGAAAACTAGGCCTATCCCTTGTTTTGATTGACTAGTTCTACGTCAAGATGCTAGGCCCTCTCACTCTAGTCGTCCTCTCTGTAAACGGTTTATTAGTTTTGTTGATTGGACAATGTTGGTACACTTTTTATTTTGTTACCAGGTTGCCGCATAAGTGACCCACATCCCTATGTGTGATCTGAGTTCAGTTTTTGCACTGTTATAAAAGCATTTTTAGCAAACTATCAGAAACAAAACTAAGAAAAATACAGGCATTTGTAGTCATATTGTGCATAGAATGGTAGAAATTTAAACATACCAGTTCCACTCTGAATTAAAATTTAAAAAGATTTGCATAGTTACTCCACATGACCAATTGATAGGCAGTTAAGTATGAGAATGATGTCATTTTTTGTTGAAGTCATCACCATTGTTCAATTATCTGTAAACTTTGTCCTGGTTGAGCAATAATTTCGTACATGATGATCAATTGATAGCTTGGTCATTAATTATTAGAGTTATTATTTTTTGGATATTTCAATGGTAGGAGTCGAACTTGAGTTGTAGAATTTCTAAAGTCAACCACTAAACACTAGCCCGATTCCTACTTATTATTAGAATTAGAATGCAGAGTTTGCACCTTCTTGAGCAACTCTAGGATTAAAATGCCTTGTTGTTGACGAGGTCTGGAGATCATAGATCCCATTGCCCAAATACATAGTTTCCAGGATTGGGATCGGGACTGGTTTTGGTATTGGGTTGGGAGCATGGTCAAAGTAGCAGTTTAAGCCATGAAGGCTTTTCTTTTGTCTTTTTCCTACTTTTTAGTGAATGCTAAGCAATGAAGACTTTTAAAGCTGAAAAAAGTGTATCTTGCTAGGTGGTGGCCATTGTAGGAAATCCTGGATTCTTGCAGATGTGTGTGAGTCAAATTTGAGTTTGCATAGTTTCCATGTGTACACAATTGGTGCTCATCAACAGTTTGTATGCCTATTTGTATGGGTATAAAGATAATGATGACTGTAAAGATTAATGGTCCAGACCAGCTATGCTTGCTTGCTTTCGATCCTACCTCCAATGGTGAGTAGCCTTCTAGGCTCCATCAAGTACCATTCTTGGTGAGCTCACCCCAATACAATCAATTGGATGCCGGTGATGCAAGCTGATCATTTTGATCAATTGGGTCAGTAACTCAACCTATCAGCTGACGCTAGTAGCTAGGCTACTTTGGTTTACATAAGAGTTATGATAACCAATACTGTAGTCTAGGATATCTCTAATAATGTACATTAGATTTGAGCTTCAGTTATTAGGCCTCCCTAACAAGTAACCTGCATAGTATTTCTTGCACCCGTTTGCAAGTTGACTAATGGAATGCAGCATTAGCTTTGGCACGGGTTTGTGGCTTAAGCAGTTACGTTAGGATTCGAGCTATTGATTTCAAGATTTCAATCAGAATTGGAAATAGCAGCAAAGTTCCCTGCTTCCGGATTAGAGCAGGCTTGCTTCGCATAGGCTACACTGGGCGAAGCTGCTTTTAGGCTAGAGGTAAAAAGAAAAAAAATCCTTGTGGTCTAAATTGTGTCCCTTGTGCGCTGAGCTCTAAGTGTTAAAGGTCCTTATGAGTTAGTTTGTAGAGGTCTAAGTTCCGGCAAGTTAATGCTGCATAAAGTAGATTCTATAGGTGTGAGTTAGAGCATTGTCATGGTTAAAGACCCATGAGTCCTATGCGGCCTGGACTGTGATGGGTCTAGGTTCTGTTTATTGGTTGCAATGTAACATATTTTAGGATCATGCAATTCACCTTGTGCATGTTTAGGATTTCTGCTTGAACAACTCTTCCCTTTCTGCTATAATTTAGTGAACACCTTCTTGGGGTGTTCTGGGCCTCATCTTAGAGGTGGTGATGGTTGTTGTTGTTGTTGTGGTTGTTATTGTTAATATTATTATTACTACTTCTACTACTGCTGTTTTTATTTATTATTATTAATCCTATGTTAAAGTTGTCTAATTTATTATTTATAATGCCTATGTATGTTAAAGTTGCCTAAACCAATTTAAAAGAAAAAAGAAAAAAGAAAAAAGAAAATGTGGCCTTTGTGCATGTCTGCAAGCACTAATGACTTTACAAACACTAGGCAAGTCCAACAGATTTGGCGAAGTTAACTAATATAAGGAAATAGAAATTTTTGAAATTTGAAAGTTACCTAAAGTATAATGGTGCTTTTGAAATAGGGCAAACAAAGGGCCAAACTCCAAGTTTGTAGTAGCTGACTGAAACCCCATTTACCATGCCTCAAGTAAAATAGCAAGAGTAGCAGACGTATAGATCCACCAGAACATGCACTAAAAATCTGCAGTTTAAACCTATATTTTAGAACTTGTTAAGTCCAACTTGAACTGTGGCAACTTGCAAGTTCTATGGGGCCCTAAACTAGAAGGGGTCCCTACTGTATCATGAACTGCCAGGGTCCGTGTTCAGACCCTGGAAATTTCTTGTTGGACATGGGCATGCCCCCAAGCTAGGCTAAGTCTGACGAGACTCATTGAGTCTAACAAATAGAACAGAAATTTACAGGGGATAAAAAATCCAACCCCCTTTCCATTTTCTTCCAAACAAAACCTTCATGGGCCTTGAAAATTTGCATTGTTTAAAAACTAGCATTCGGCCAAATGGATCAGTCATCTGTGAAAGCTGTCTAGATCAGTGGATCGACGACCCAAATTTGTGGATCGGCTAGGTCAGGCTGATCTGGCCTTAAAAAAATTTCAATTTTATTTTAAAATTTGTAACAAATGTTTTTTTTTTGAGAAATGTTGACTTTTGTATTGTGGGAATTCCAGGGACGTTCTTTCTCTCACTTGCCCTGACTTTTGTATGAAAATTTATAATGCAATGGTTCCTGGAATTCCCGCAAAGAACGTCCCTGACTCCTTGTAATAAATGTTTTTCTTTTGGGTTTCCAAAAAATGGCGGTATTGCATTATAGATTTTCATTTTTTTAAAAAAATACATGAATATTGAGAGGCCGTTTCCTGTTTGAGTGTTTGTTGACCATTGTATTCATTTTATAGTAAAAATGGAGCATACAATTATGATGAATATGAATACAGGTCCTAAATGGAGAATACAGGTCCTAAATGGAGCATACAATTACGAAGTTACAACCTAATGCCTAAACGAAAGACAACGTTGTTCTTCCTTTTCACCATGCTGATTCCACTAGTTGAATTGTTGAGACAAATCATTGAGCTGATTGATTTGTGAGTTTAAAGGTTCAGACTCGTTAGTGTTTTGGCGGACTCTACGCGTCTTAGTAGTTCATGAATGAAGCGGGCATGGTAAACCGCTATCCATACACTAAATCCCCAAGGCTGGTCCACCCCTCGTGCATGCCTCCATGATCCTGCTACTGGGGCTTAGGTTGGGTATATCTTAGCTGGGACTGGGAGGCCTCATAATCATCTTTTCTACCATCTCTCCCCCATATCCTTCCCCCTCTCCCTCAATAAGTACATGACCGTTATATCTCCTACGAATTGCTCAAATAGTGACAGTCACCTCCTTCCTATTTGCCGCACTTTCTTCGTTATCTTCATGTACAATTCCCTCAAAGCGTTCTCTCTTATATGGCACTGGCTCATCTTCCACTACCCACTTCTTGGCTATATCTACGATAGATATTGCATCTTGGTCGATTGGATTGTAGTCTTCAAATTTCCTTATTATTTGTCGCTATCAAAGATTCAAATTGTAACGAGCACTTACGAGCTTTGAAAGCCCCTCTGAAGTCACCAATTTCTTTATAAGTGTACAGCCCATAGTTATTGGAAATGCCTAGGAACCCAAATCACATTAAGAATCGGAATCGCAAAATCACGGCCCGCTAATGGATTCGTGTTTTCAAAATCGACGCTTGTACAATGGGAATTGCAGGAAGCGAGATTCCTATTTTTTGAGAATCGAGAATTGACCAATATGGAATCGAGATTCCACCACATATAGAATCGAGATTCCACCACATATAGAATCAAGATTTTGATCTCCTTGGAATTAAGATTCCTACCTCCTTGGAATCGACCTCCAAGGAATCGAGACTCTGAAATCTTAGGAATCGAGGTTTTGAAATCTTAGGAATCGAGTTTCTAGCGTATGTGGAGCCGAAATCGCACTAGTTTAGAATCGAGATTCCGACATATTTAGAATCCAGTTTTTGATTCATACCAGTTTGGGATCTGTAATCATATTAGTTTAGAATTGTGTATCCCAATTGGCAATAGAGATTCGTAACTCTATGGAGTCAAGTACGAAGCCCCATAGGAACAAGTTTCCTATATCAATGACATCGCGCGCTTTATCGACTTAGAAGCTATTTAAGCAATTGATATCAAATGTCTCTTATTAGACTGAAAAGTTCCTCAGATTTGAAGTCAATGTATTGATTATTGAACTTAGGTCAAGTAGTCCACTAGGGAAGTTATCAACAAAAGATACAAATGTTATCCCATGTATTTCTAAATTGTATGTGTTGTACTTATCAATTATACTTTAAAGAAAAGGCAGTGCATCCTAGCACTATTAGAAATGTGATTCGAGCCAATCCTAGCACTATTAGAAGCATTCGAATCGAATGAACATCTCTACTCCAATTACCTTTAAAAAGTGGTAACCATTCACGAAATTGGACGTTATGTACTTTGAATTTATTTTATTTTATTTTATTTATTTATTTTGCTTGCATTCACATTATGCTAGTGTGGTAGGGGAGAATTCAATCTAAACATAACGCACACATGGATACATTATTGCATGAAT